TTAAATGCGTGTACAACGGAAAGATATAAGATTATAAACACTGAAATAAAAATTGAAATCGCTACATTTGCATATCACAGTAATAATGTAATCTCTTAAAACAAAAACTTCAAAGAAGTTAACATCACTAAAGATGTAACGCTTTTTCTGAGTAGCGAGTGTCTAAGTAAAATATATACTTATACATACCAAGTTAAGTTGTTTAAATAAACAAGATCAAGTGTAACACGACCGATCAATAAAACCAAGTGGCGCGATTTATTGTTTCAATTAAATGTGTCGACTGTCGGTATATAGTTAGTGTTTTAACTTGTAGATATAGGTTTTAAATGGCTTTGGCACCGAAACTAAACAGAATAATACTCTTAATTAACTACTATCCCCGTCTCCATTGCCGACTTTTTAATTGTAATTCACATCTAATATTTAAAATTTAAAATTTAATTTATACAAAGGCAATTATTGTCTACTGACCTAACCGGTATGTAGTTATAAAAAAAAAAATAACCTAATTTACATAATGTATTATTTTTATAATGTTACAGGCGTAGATCTAACAACTTTAAATGGAGGTGGCTAAACATCTTTTGAGGTAGAAAAAACATATAGCAATAGTTAAATAATATCCTACAATTATTAATTATTCAAATGTAGTTTATTTAAATATATTTACAATAATTAAATGAAGAAAATAGTATACCAGTCAATCAGTTGCGTGTGCCAAATTTCCGGTTTCCACGCGCATGTTTTATTTGATCTATAAATTAATCTTTTAATCAGTAAACTTCAGCACAATAAAATAAAAACAACAATCCATGCTAAATTAATGGTAGTTATATATTTACTTAATAATATGACATGTCTTACACGACAAAATATAGATATGAATTCATACGAGAAAATGAGGAATAATTATATCATAAGCGTGTTTCGTCTATTCTAATATATTTTAAGTTTATAATGATGATTTAGAAATGTATTGATAAATTTATTGGTTATTGATTAATGATCAACTTGATTATGGTTTTTATATCTATATATCGTTTAGTATAAATTTAAAACCAAAATAATTAATTATATTTTATCAATATTGCTACAGATATTAGAAGTCAACTATAGTTTTAAGGACATGACATTAAGTATTCTCTACAAATGTAAATAGAAACCTAAAGTTATTAAGTACATTTATTTGCTTATAAATTTATAAGTTATAATAAATATTTTATCTGTATTAACCTTTATTTTTATATTGAAAACCCGTCGATTACTTTATTCATACAATTACATCAATTTATAAATATTTAATTCTAAGTTTTTACTATAAATAATAGGCTTATAAGTTATAATAGTTAAATAGTTGACCTCATACCTTCGTATAATATTTTAATCATCAGAGAGTAGAAAAAAAATATTTCTTTGCTGTAGTTGCAGCTGTCGTGCTAGCTATTATAGAACTCCGAACATTTTTCTTTTTTATATATAATTATTCAAAATGTATTATTTTAAAACATTTACCGAATACATTTTTGAATTTTATCAAAATTTAAAACTCACCTGTATGCTTATACAAGATCACCTTTTATACTATGACCTTAATATATATTTTTTAATAAATCATTTTTAACAGAGATGAATAAAACAGAATTCAGCATTCAAAAAGTTTACTTAATACATTTTGGAGATGCAATCATGATTAATTGGATAAATTTTATATCCATAATACCGAAATCTAATTATATAAAATAACAGATTTTTAAACAGGTGAAAACTTTTTTATTTCACACTGTTTATTTTATTACATGTTATACGAATAGGGATTTACAAGTAGGTATACAATTTATATTTATAAATTTATTATTTACATATTACTCTACATAATATACTTGATTTTTTTGTTTATTATAAGTTTTAAATCTTGTCTTTGAAGTCTTTTATTATAGTTTTAACAATTCACGGTTTATTTACACACAATAAAATTATTTTTCGACTTATCATGAATGTATTATAAAGTATTTCTATGATTTATTATAAACCGTAGATTTAAGCAATGAGCACAAACCGTTTATGAATACAAGTTATAAGGTATAAATTTGTCGATTTACGTACTTAACTGCTCTCGATTAGATTTGATTAGTACAACCTTGGTGTACGAAATAGTACAGTTACAGTTTCGCAGCGATGAAATCGATGATCTTCGATTTTTCATTTCCGGTTGCTATAGTATTGAGGGTGGTGTTGGCCATCGGATCACGATTTACTACGACGATTTCTACGAATCCGGCAGCGTTTTTCTGGCCACGTTTTTGTTAAATATGTGATTTTTATCATTTTCATTTTCGTGAATTTTGGATGATTTTTTCAACAATTTCTTAGATCTGCCGCAAACAGACGAACCATAAGTGACGCACTCGAAGTCTGCAAAGACATTTTCTACACTCGCATACTCGCGAGAGTCAGGCGATTTCAAAACGTGTGATAGGAGCGGCACGCGATGATTCGAAAATCTGAAGGAGCTTTACCACTTATCAGAGCCAGTTTACTCGGTATGACATACAATTCGAATTTCTTGACGACCCCTAACACTTTAGGTCTCGCAGCATCGCTATCCGTTGTCTATTGATATTCTACATTCTCATCGAAGATCTTTTATTACTTAAACATTGAATATTTAATAAATTCAGTGTTTATTATTCGATTGCTAATCACTTAGAATTGAGGATTAGTGTAGACAATTCATATGTGATATCGTCAATTATTTTATTTAGTTTGTGTACAATAACGTGTAGTAGTATGTATATACTTAAAATAATTAGGTAATGTACACATATTTTACAAAACATAGTAATTGTCTTAATATTTTTATTAAATTTTAATCGTTAAGGTGTCCAATAATTTGTAATGTTCACTCTTTTTAACGCGTTGCTCTACATAATTAGGCAATATTTTATCTCAAATCTCAATTAAGTTTCAAGGTGGTAAACATTTTGGTCAATATTTATTTTTATTTATTTTTTTATCAACTATGTTAGCGTCAGCTTATTACTAATAACCGATTGATAAATGTTCTCTCATACGTATTCTGCAGATTTTTCAGTGTTTCAGCGGACAAAACAATCATAAAACCCTTTAAAACAATTTCGTGTGATAATGTTAGGTAATTTACGTCTGTTTATCACGTATTAATAAAGGCAAACGACTATTTTATTTAGGTATTACATATTTCCGTACTGGAACAGTATATAGTATATATACAGTTACTATATACCATGTGTTTAATGTGTATACATTATTGATAGCCCCGGGAAACGTCGACCATCGCACAGTGTCATGACGATATAATATACTTTAATATGTTGCCTAATTATTCACGTACACAGTAATAATAATATAATAACGTATATGGAAACGTTGACGTCTCGAGGCGATTGAAGAAGACGAAGAAAAGGAGTATACGCGCGCTCACACACAGACGAGCGTTTAAAGCCGTTTAGTTAATAACCGTTTATATATATATATATATATATATAAACAATATGATATAGGCACTGACATATAGAGTGTAAATTGAGCGCAATAGGTATAACTACGGTGATGGGTAGGAGTAGACGGCGAGAAGAAAAAGAAAAGAAGAGATTATTATTATTATTGTCATTATTATATTCCAACGAGGTCGAGTCGTAAACGGGCCAGCAGTAAAACACTGCGACCGGGATCCATTAAAATATCGGGTGTTATCATTTTATAAAACCCCACTTGTTTAATGTTTTATACATTTTTATACATAGGCACGTAGAATGTGTTTGTGCTTTTGGCTCGAGCATTAATATACTATAATCGTTGTTATATATTATAAGTTGTGTGAGTCTGGCTAGAGTCCGCCGCCACGAAGCGAGGTGGAGATAATAATATTTTCTCCTTTTGAGTAGGTACTACTATACGGCAGCGATTAATTTTTAAATGTGTAAAACATACATGTATCCGCTCGCGCGGTTTTACGACCGTCAGACATCGAACACGTCACAAACGTCCGTCACGTCCGTCGTCTACCGATCAGTTTATACCTACATGGCTACATCAGCTGTACCTACAGGCAGTCAGCGAATCACGTACGTTTGTGTTACATCGCACTCAGCACTGCAATCCAAAATTCGAAGATCGGTGTATACCTACCTATTATACAAACATAATATAGCAAATATACCTGACGGGAAACGGCTACGCGATTTATATACAACACACTATTTATACATAATATGATAAATCATTTTGATCAATAATGGGAGACGTTTTTCCGTGCGCTGTGGCGCCTTTTCAGCTTTACAACGGATTGACTGTAAACAGGCTGATTTTTTACACCACACCGTTGTGCATATACGAGAATAAAATATCGAGTTTTCACTTTTCAAGACATTTTTTGACATTACATGAAACATATACGTATTTGGCACGAAATGTATAGGATTTCAAAGTTGTATGAAAATCTCGTGACAAAAGGAAAAACTCCTAGTTATTTCCAAAATATTTTCTTGGATTTTAGAGTTCTAAACATCTGCAGTATTACCAATATTATTTTTATTTTTTTACTTTTTTGAACAATATTACGTATTATTTTTCATCCATGGTATACTATTGCAATAATACTTTGTTTATAAACGTTTATTAGTTAAATACATCAATACATTTTAAAACATACTAAAATTATATAGAGGTAGTTATTTTTCTTATAATTTAATATTGATTACAATATTATATTTAAACAAAAAAATCATGTAATATCAATAAAATATTTTTAAAACGTCTTTAATTGGCTTTTTATCAATAATAAATTCAACGTTTTTAAATTTGGTTTCATTGGTAAAATGTAAAATACATAATAATATAATGTAATACGATTTACTTAACCAATTTCATTTATTTATTTTTTTTAATGCTTATAACTAAATTTGAATTATGCAAATTTGTCATGCTATTGAATTTACTTGAGTTGCAATAAGTTTATTTTAAATTGATATTTTATAAGTCTCTACAAACTTCACAACACTTGAAATAACTAATAACATATAATGCATTATATATTTACTATAAATATGGAATATATTTAACTTTCATTTTAGCCCCCGCAAATATTTTTCATAAATTACTACCCCTTAAAAACAACAGCCGTTACATCAAACAAATTTTCGAGAACACTGCAGTAACCCACGATTAATATTTTCTGTATCACTGAATCTTACAGCGCGTGTTTCCGAAGAAAGTTGTTTATATATTACCACTATTTTCTCGTGAAAACTTAAGAAATTCAGCTCAGTCAGTACGAACGCCATAAGAAACAGTCTGCCGTCATATTGAATTAGTAAACACCAATGACGACGCCTTACTGCACAGAGTTTCATTAAATCGGCTTTAACGCGATGTTATAAATATATATATATATATTACAAAAATAACGCCGGAAATCAATATAAATTCATGTAATGTATTATATTTGTTGTGCTTCAGTCGTGTTGTATTAGATATCTGTCTGAGAAGTATAACTTGTTCGGTATACTCATATTGCGTGTAATAGTATATTTTTCGCAGTATGTGTATGCTTACCGTGCTATACTCGTTTTTATTTCGGAGAAAAATAGATGTATTACCGTCGTGCGTGACGTTTATTAATAGACAATCAGGCGATCCGAATGAAAACGCGCATTTCATTCTATCCGCTCCGAATTCATATTTTGCGAGAAGGTTCAACTAAACCATTAAGGTAGTGACAAACGAACAAAAAAAAAACCTCTAAATGGCTAATTTTTTTTATGTTCCCCGAGTCGTTAAGCAACTAATCTGACAGCAATAACAAAAACCTGGATCTCCTTATTCGTGAACGTATACGCTTGTAGTACAATTTTTTTTTTTTTTTTTCCCAATGTCGTTATCTGATTTGCGGAACGTACGTGCGACTGTTTGAACACTACACAATAATAATATAATACACTCAGTTTGGTCGTGTCAAACCTGATTTTTTAACTTGTGCCAAAATATTGATTGGAAAAAAAAACTACGAAATAACATAGTTTCTGTCATTTTGAGACTCAGACAAGACCTATAACAATGTAAGGTCTACATGTATACAATATAATACATATCAAACAATCTCAATCTCAAATCTCGATTGATATCATGTTTTTTTTTTTTTTTCAATCGAATTAACCGAGCTAGAATCGAGTACCTATATACTTTTCAACTATGTTCAATCGAATTTCACCAACGTAATCTGATAGAGCGGTATGTACAAAATACTATAATTTATTTAGGTATACCCATTACACGTTATAATATAACACGACGTGCTAACCTCATCACTAGTCTATAATATGTATAGCACACTATTTTCCTACATTTCTATTTTTACTCTTATTACTCGCTTTATGCATGTATTGAACTTTAATCATTGAACGGATTTGTTATTTTAAATTTCAAATGGTCAGTGCGATGTGTTTGTTTACCCACGATTTTGACTGACGATCAGTTGCAGTGCTTTTCTCCTCGGCATTCGACTCATTAAGACCTTATTTATTTATCGCGACATATTTCGATCTATTTTCATCATTGATCCATTACTATTCCTGGTCAACAGTTACAACGGGCGTATGTAATTTGCACCAAAAACAACCCAAAAAAAAAAAAATATATGTAATTTGCGCCACATCTAAAATTGTATTTTGGTAATTTGCGCCACTTTTTTAGTTTGTAATTTGCGCCAAATAAAACTAAGTAAAAAGGCAATATGTAATCTGCGCCATCGTTTACCTACAAAAATTGTAATTTGCGCCACAGTTCACAAAATTCACAAAACGAACTCCATGTATATTAAATAAGTAAATTTTCGTTTAGTAATAAAACATATAAAAATCTGATATATAAAAAATGATAATATGCTGAAACATTTTAATTTTAATAAATAAAAAAAAAAAATAATTGTAAATAAATGAATAAATATAAAGTTTCGTTTAGTATGTAAAATTTTCGTTTAGTAATAAAACTTATAAAAATCTGATAGGTATATAAAAAATGATAATATGCTGAAACATTTTAATTTTAATAAATAAAAAAAAAAAATAATTGTAAATAAATGTATAAATTTAAAGTTTCTTAAGTATGTACAATTTTCGTAGTATAACATATAATTTTTGAAATAAAATACCTAGCTACTTATAATACTTAGCTTACTCACGTTTTTTTTATATTTATAGCTTAATGACGAAACTAAGCCTTTTCTGTCAATTTTATTTTGTCTGTAGTCTTCATATATTTGTTGAAAAGTTTCCAAACGAATTTTATTTTTAGTAGAATTTCGTTTTTTAAGATGTATACTTTTAATTTTAATCAATGTTTCGGTTTGAAATCCTTTCAGTACATCCAAAAAGTGGTAAATAGTAGGATGTGGGTGATAGAACTCGGAATTGAAACGTGAATGATATGATTCGCAAGCATTAGTAGTGAGAGATAGTGACGCGATATTCGCAGCCCAAATTATTGGTGGAAATTTAGCCTCTTCACAGATATATGTGTCAACTAAATAATCGGTATATTTTTGAAATCTTATGTCATTAGGAATCGATGACATAAAATCTTCAATAAAACAGTTACTGACTTCATTTGGAGAAATAAATGGCAACCCAAATGTATGGTTTAGCCACTTGCTTTCTTCTGTTTTATTGTTTTGATATACGTTGGATAATCCTAATTCCTGAATTTTTCTATACCACGACTGAGTTAGGTGAAATCTACAACCAAATATTTTAGTGTCATCCCAGACTTGTCTCAATGCTACATGAATTGCTTCTTCAAAATCAGATATAAATAAATTTGGTTTTAGAGAAAGTTCACGTGCATTACACAAATGTATGATATTTTTAAATAAATTTACGTAAGTTGAAGTTTTTTTGTCTGGAAGTAATGCAAATAATAGTGGTATATAATGATCATTGCATAAACCATGCAAAGAAAACAATTGCGTAAATAACTTGGGACAATATTCAAAAGTTCCATCCATATATATAATCTCAGATTCGCATAGAACTTTTAAATTTGTGTCACATGAAAATATTATTATATGACAGTTCGGATCATTTATTAATAAAAATTGCTCATTGAGGTCCGTTTTCAAATTTAAATTGCTTATACTATTTTGCAATTCTTCCATTGTTTTAGGTAATGGTGGCACCATTTTTCTACGGGCGTTATAAATATTACGTCGAACTAGTGATATATCATCAGTAGTGATAGTTTGTAAATTAGATATATTTTCAGAAATTTCAGTTCGTAATATCTTACTTGGTTTAGTATACAGATTTTCCACAGCTTTTCTCTTACATCCGTTTGAAAACATTTTTCTGTCTATACTTGGTTGATCATGCCCGTTATGTTCATTTACAATTTCAACTATTTCTACAATATTTTCTATAGAAGTATACACTTTTGCAGTGCAAGTTCTGACAGTACAACGCCATCGTACTGAAGCATTTTTCGATTCATGCACTTTGCGATACGTAAAATTTGAAAATAATAATAAATCTTTACCTCTGGTGCTTTTAATAATTTCACCAATATTTGTACTATTTTCCATTACTTATATTTTTATAAAATTTTAAAATAAAATAAATAACATGAACGCACACGCGATTTATATCGGACTAATTGTAAATATCACGATTCGCGACATTGCTGTTCAATATTAACAATATGTAACAATAGATTGAAAATTTTCGTTAGATTAGACGTAATCTAATAGAGATGATATGTCTATTATCAGTAGAACACAACAATATTATATTGGATACACGTCGATACGTATTATTGACTATTGTATATCCTATGTGATTATTTCAGTAAATTTATCTGGTAAATTCCAGCAATACTGAAGTTAAAAGTGTGGCGCAAATTACATATTCCTTTTCGTTTTCTGTCGTGGCGCAAATTACCAAAATTAATTTGTATATGTGGCGCAAAATACATGTTATGTTTTTATATTTTGGCGCAAATTACATACGTCCTTAAATGTACCTTTTGATGGCGCAAATTACAGGTAATTAAAATGGCGCAAAATCTGCTGACCTGTAGTTTTTTTTTTAAATTCTCATTGATTCTAAAATTGGAGATAAAAAAAAAAACAAAAAAAAAAAAAACTAACAACTTTTACGTACAACTCACGATTTCCGATTGGGCAGTATTATTATATTTATGAACTGTACATGCAATACGATACTAACCTACAGCTACAACGACGGGCACGCGTTTCTATTGCAGCAATAGGCGCTGCGAATGGAAAAAAAATCTCTATTTTAATACAGTTTATAAATTTTTAAGTTGGAATAGTTGCTATAGCGTACTGAAAATTTGTGCTCGGCAGTGGTGTTTAGTTAGCGACGCAACATTGCAATTTTACTGTAAATATATATTTCAATAAGTTCCTATATCTATATAGGGTTGTAAACTAATTTTTACAAACAATTACATTTTCTTATTCATTACTTTTCTAACTGTTTTTATCGTGTGACAGTCGCTAAGCACGGTAGTGCGTATTAAATCAAAAGTAGCGACTTCCAAACACTGTTTCGATATCGCGTGTGTACAAGGTCTGATCGTCTGTCACGAATCGCTGCGCGCCGTGTACAAAACAGACGAAAAAAGAACAGACGATGTTATTATTACTATACATGTACGTATATATGACATATTGTATTGTGTTATACGATTCAACATCAACCGCCTCTTCTCCAAAGACGTATTACTGCGAACGGCGTTCCATTTTATATAATATACACCGAGCGTTCGGGAGAGCTTATAATATATACGCGCCCAATGCTCGGGGGATGATGGTTTTCGACGAGGGGTTGTCCGAGTCATTATTGTTATTATTATCATCACTATTCACTGTACACATTGACGCCCCGTCCCTATTTTTAATAAACGCTCCACCGCCGCCGATCTCGTGAATATCGCGATTACTGTATATACACAGTGTACGCGTGTATGATGTATATACGATCACTCGGCTGCAGCTTTCCGTCTACCCCGGTTAAGTCCCACAAGCGGCGATGTCAAGTAGCTAGGGATAATGTGCCCGTACGGGCTAAATATAAATTTATATATATATATGTATATACATGTGTGCGTGAGTGTGTGTATGAAATTGACTCTTATCTAGCCCGCGTTCGATTGAATAACGTGAAGGGTAAGGGGTCAAAAGTCGCGTATATATTATGCTCTCGGCTTCCGGAAGGACTTTTAAGCAAGTGATTCGCGGTGGGTTACGGCAACAGCTCCTATTATAATAATATGTTAAAACACTTATACCTTAACGGCTTAACATATATAATACATAGAATTCGTACATAGAATCGTACATAATGTTTAATAATTCATTTTTCAATTAAGGGGAATTAGTGCGTCTGAAAATCCAAACATTGATTATTATTTGTTTTTTTACGTGAATGTTTTAAGTATTATTCCGAAACAAGCTGTCGGATATTGTTTAAGTATAAACAACTAATATAACGTATTTATAAATACATTATTTATTTATTAATAATTATAATAATATTACTAGATGTTATTAAGTTGTTGTAACTTATAATTCAATGTCGAGGTTTAAGTATAATTACAACAGAACAGCGCAATATAGTACGTTTGTGATATAAATAGTTATATCTAAATATGTTTAAAATCACATTGTACATTATAATATATAGTAAATAATAATTCAATGTAATGGAAAAAAGTTTCAAGCCCCACAACAAATATTTATTTATTTTTTAAATTGCCTACAAAATAGGACTAAAAACGGTAATTTTTGATTAACTATCTACCTATTTTTGTATAAATTTAATTTTCAGTGTTTATATTTCTATAAAAATAAATAAATTATGGCATATACGAGTATATTTTTGATATTTCTAATAGCAGTAAGACTAACCTATAAAGAATCTTGTACTAAATTTAAAGTTTTTTGATAACAAAAAAACATTTTAGCATTCATCAACTGAGAAAATATACGTATGCAATTTACACCTATTTTTTAAATATACATATAATTTACACACCCGAGGAAATACATATAATGATATATTTCTTTGAAGTAAAATAATTAACTAATGGAAGTAAATGCAGTGCTATAGTAAAATATTATTTGGAAATTTAGAATTATTATTATGCGTAAGTATTTATCAAGTATTTATTATATTTATTAAATACGTTAATACGTTATGGTGGTAAACTATTGTATAATGCATATTATGTGTATTCACGATTGATCAATATGAAAATGATTAATATTGACAGCATACGAACGGAAAATTTTTAAAAATTAGTTAATTTAAATTATATCCTATGGGTGTGTGTGCATACCGTTCAGTGAAAATCAAAAATCGCTGGCTCATCATCCATTCAATTTGGAAGCGGCGTGAATGTGTGATAGTGATAGCGTGGAAGATAATATTATTATGATGCAAATCATACAATATCGTAATATTAAATAATAATTAATATATACGTTAGCTATGGGACATGAATATCGACATAAAATACTAGGCTTGCAGAATTCGCAGAAAGCAATGAAAATGATTTTCAAATTTTAATTGTATTTATCTCCATATTAAATAATAATATTTATTTACTATATTTTATCAAGCCAATTGAAATGCAAACTATTTGAATGTCAATTAATTAACTTATCTAAGTTATATTCTGTCACATTTTGTTGAAATCATTGTACTCTGATACAAAAAGATCGTTTAAAATGAAGTTCAAATTCCTGCTGGACAATTAATATAATAACAAAATCTTCGACTTCTTGGAGATCAGTAAACGCACCTTTCAAAATCAACCGAAAATGAACACAATGTTTTTACACGATAGAATCGATAGATAATTATTCTATTAGCTATTTGTATTTTTTTTAAATGCTTAATTTTCACTAAACATTTAGATTACTATTTTCTAGACATGATAAAAAAAAAATCTCTGAGGTTTAAATATTTTCACTGTAAGGTAGTGTGTTTTATTATACACAATACAATTTTCAAAATACTCAGATTAATCTTAAACTTTTTATACTACCAAACCATTTATAGTGTAGTACATTAATATTAACTTTTAAGTTATATGTGATATGTTTATAAAAATTTTTTCAGTCTACCAATTTCAGAAAATATTAGGTAGTAATAATGTAACATAAAAATAAAATCTAGACGAACGTTGATCGATCTATCTCCTAATCGTTTTTTTGGTTAACTATTTACTTATTGTGAATATTTCTAGTAAAGTTTGCTAAAATCTATTAGTTACGATTTTACGAGGAACCTACGTATTCAAAATCTATTATACCTACAGCAGAGCGACTTCCCATTTATTTTATTTAAATAATAAAACGTGTGTATGAGTATGCGTATAAAAAAATGTTTTAAGCATTCCAATTGTTTGTTTCACAGTTGACATGATACAATTTTCTAGTACCTAAAAAAGTTTACGTTTTATAAAGCATTATAACGTTATAATGAATATATACATATTAAAGCGAAAAAATAAAAACAAAAAATAAATAAATAAAATATGAAATGCATTTCCTGTTTTGAAATACCAACCTCGGTGTTCTTGGCTACAGCAGATGTTTCACCATAACGTCTTGGACACTACACAAATTAAATCGTTTTACTGAATTAATAATAAGCATGCCGGGTCGAGTTTCTGACAATTTAATTACGTTAAGGTGACACACTTGTAACACTTTTGTGTACCATTAAACCGTAGCAGTTCTAACCCCTTTTTTTTCCTCTCCTGGTTCTCGTATAATAAACACCTTTAGTAACCGATAAAGTCTTAACAGATTGTAAACACGATCATGAATATTTCCGGTTGTCCGCCCGAAAATTATACTCGTCTTACAGTGCCTATGACGAACAGTCATAACATACATGGCGTGCAATATAATATATGTATAGTACACACACATAAACACCCTGTAATAATAATTACAGTTTCAGTTTCGTTTAATATCATATCACCGCGTATCATGACGTACGTCATATACATAACGCATATTATTATTATACAACCTATATAGAGTAGGTCATTAACACATTATTATAATACAGTGTGTATAATAATAGGTAGGTAAGATTACAATTTGCGACAACCGGCAATTATACATTAATATGGTAATATTTTTATAGCGACAAGCAATTGACGGAAACACGCTTGACGGCCGTTACACGTACACCACAATACAAATGAACATACTCTGAGACGATCCGTCATAATGTAATACGTACCTGTAGTATAATGTATATATAGTTTTAGAAGTCGCGAGTCCACCACTGCGGTGCAGGTAGGCGTAAACTGAATGTAACAAGTACCTATAACAGACTTAGGTTTTTTTTTCCGGTCTGTATTTTAGTTATAACTTAAATGTAACACATAATTGGTACCTCTGTATTATTAACGACATTATTTTTATTAAAATAAAAACGAATTGAACCTTTTTAATGCATCATATTATCAACTGGGAAGTAAAAAAAAAAGAAAAAAGTTTTTCAGACAAAGCAAAATTTTCGACAACGAATGTATTTCTCAAATCTTGGTTTAAACTTTTTAAGGATAAATTTATTTATCAGATAATAATTAATGTAAATGAAGAACTTTTAAGAGTACGAATTCGATGTTGTACAGATGATAAATTCTTAATTACATTAAGTTATAAACAGGATTTAAGTTTAAATTTTAGCAAGAATAGGTATTTTAAAAAAATATAGCGTTAATTTAATGGTTAATTTAATTTTAATATTCTAACATTTTTGAAAGACTAGTAAATAGTTACAACACTTAAATTTTATTGATAATATAATACCTATATTATATCGATGTAGTTGACCCTCCTTATGCAAAATGTTGGGTTAGTTAAATATTATAACTATATAGTTTAAGGGACTCAAATAAAATAAAGACACTTTTGAATTAAAAACCATAGTTTCTAGAAAAAAGAATATTATTTTACAATAATCATAATAATATAAAGTGCTTTTAAAATACCAACAAAGCATTAT